GAGCTTTTCCAGACCTTTCGGTCCACCACCCCCTAACATGAAAACATAAAGGACTGTTTAAGGAAAACACTGAAAAGATTTAAATATGTATAATACAGGTTCCTTTTGTGAGCTAACATGGTCATGCATGTACAACCACCACACCACACAGTGACTTCATTTCTGTCCTTCCTATACTTGGGAGATCATGGGGCTTGAACTCTGGACCTGGGTGCTGTCCCTGAGCTCTTCAGTTCAAGATGCGTGCTCTACCACTTGAGCCATAGCACCACTTCCAGTTTTCTGGAGGTTAATTGGAGATAAGAGTCTCACATGGACTTTCCTGCCCAAGCTGGCTTTGAACTGTGATGCTCATATTTCCGCCACTTGAGTAGCTAGGATGACAAGCATGAGCCACCAGTGCCTAGCTCCCATTTTTATATATACTTTTAAAAGTCCTTTGTATTTTCAAGCCATCTGACCTCACTTTGTCGGCCGAGGTTCCGGTGATTGCTCTGCCTTCGGAGTTTGATGAGAGGGCCACAAAATGTGCTGCCTGCAACAATTCCAGGGCCATGATTTGTGTGGAGGCAGATCCTCGAAAGTCAGACAAATCCCCGTTGGGCTCTGTTGTATAAATCTGGGGAAATGTTTAATCTCTCCAAATCCCTGTTTTCTCATTTGCAAAATTATCACAATTATAGTGCCTGCTTAATGAGGTTAGGAGGGAATTAAAGAAACAGAACAGCATTTAGTGGAGTCAGCCTCCACCCCCCCCCCCCCCAGCCTCAGTTCCCTGGGGCTGTGACCTTGAACATTTCTGAGGCATGTTCAAGGAGGGCGCCATGGGAGGGAGAGGCCCCCATCTCCTCCACTGTCCCGTAGCCAAGCCGGGAGGTCACTGCGCCAAGTGGATTCTGGGAACAGAAGGGATGGAAGGAGAGACAGTGTGGATGCTGGGGTCAGCCTAGCTTTCGTTTGATCCCCCTGTACTCCCCACTAGACGGGTGGGATGAAGGGACAGGGCACGTCAAGCAAAGTGACTGTGAGGAATACGGTGTTTGTGCTCAGAAGCCAGTGCGTGGGCTTCCCGGCCAGGACGCTTTCCCGAGTGGATTCTAGCTGTTGCAGCTGAGTTTCTCTAGAGGAGGGAACTCCAAGGATTAAGTGTGTGGTGACGTCTAGGGTAGGCCTTGAGGATGGAGAAGAAAGAGGGGACGGCAGCCCTGGGAGAGGGAAGGCTCCGCAAAGGCTTGGGAAAGAACAAGGAAAACAGCCCGTTGGGCTGGGACTGTGGCTTAGTGGTAGAGTGTTTGCCTAGCGTGCATGAAAGCCCTGAGTTCGATTCCTCAGTACCCACAGACACAGAGAAAGCTGGAAGTGGTACTGTAGCTCAAGTGGTAGAGCATTAGCCTTGAGCAAAAGAGACTCAGGGACAGCACTCAGGCCCTGAGTTCAAGCCCTAGGACTGGCACAATAAATAACCAGCCCCAGAGCCTCTGGTTTCTTGGAAAAGTGGGCTGGGCACAGGAATAGGCTAAAGGAAAGAGGGGCCCAGCCCCTCTTGCAGGACCCCCCCTCCCCCAGTGTCGGTACTAGGGCTTGAACTCAGGGTTTCAGTGTTGTCTGTGCTGTCCCTTAGCTTTGTTGCTCAGGACTCTACCATTTGAGCCACAGCTCTACTTCTGGCTTTTTAGTGGTTAATTGGAGATAAATCTCACGGATTTTCCTCCCTAGGCTGGCTTCAAACCAGCCTCCTCTGATCTCAGCCTCCTGAGTTACTAGGATTGCAGGCATGAGAGAACCACTGGCAGCCTGGCTAGGAACAGGTCTTTCCCTGTGAGTTTCAGTCCAGAGTCTGGAGACGGGTTTGCAGGTCACCCCAGCCCCTGTGCTCCTCGATCCAGACACACAGCAGCCCTCCAGGGCAAAGCCTGATATCAGCTGACCTGCACTACTCGCCGCATGGAGGTGTTTGGCTTTCTCATCTCAGCCTCGTTCTCGCCAGAAGCTGAGGATCCTGCCTGACCTGTCTCTACCTGTCTGTCTTCCACTCCCCTGCCAGCTCAGCTGCCACTTCAGGAGGCCTTCCATGATGGAGGGGTTGGCTCCACTCATGCTTCTTAATGTCTTTACATCAGATAGGAACTTTCTGGCATTAGAACGATGTGGTGGCTGCTTCTGAGTTTCAGTAGACTGTTAAGTTCCTTGGAGCCAAAGTAGAATTGAATCTGTCTAGGTATCTTTGTACCTCTGCAGAGAAGGACGGAGGGAAGTGGGGAGGGAGGGAGGGAGGAGGAAAGAAGAGAAGGGAGAAGGGAAGGAGAGGAAGGAAAAAGGGGAGGGAGGGAAGAAGACAAGGAGAGAGGGAGGGAAGGAGGACTTGCCGTGGACTCTGTAGACAAAGGTGCCAAGTAGTACTTTAAGTGGGGGTGGAGTTTCAAGTCTAGCAAATACCCATTCTAAGCAAAGAAAAAGTTTTATTTTATGCCAACTATAGCTTTGTAACAAGTTTCCGACATCACTCCTAACTAGACTGGAGGTTACCATGGAGACCACCTCCCCTCAGGGGAAATGGATGAACCAATGAATGTTGACTGCATCTCTGATGAAAACCAGGCCCTGTGTAGGGTGCGTTTACAAATGCCAGTAGCTCACGCCTGTAATCCTAGTTACTCAGGAGACTGAGATCTGAGGATCGTAGTTCCAAGCCAGTCTGGACAATAAAGTCCAGAAGACTCTTATTTCTAATTAACCACCAGAAAACCAGAAGCGGTGCTGTGGCTCAAGTTGGTAGAGCGCTCGCCTTGAGCAAAAAGAGATCAGAGACAGCATCTAAGCCCTGAGTTCAAGTCCCAATACTCAGTCACAAGTAGGCCAGATGCAGGAGACTCAAACCTTTGCTTACAATCAGGACATAGGAATGAAAGAAGAACAACCCAATATAAATTTGTATCTGTTAGGAGGCCACACAACTTCCAAGTTAGGTAGTGCCAAGAGCTGACTTTGACTCAGCGGGGAAGTGAGAACTCAAATGGCCGACTAGGTGTCATGTTGGTCTCCCCAAGTGGGAGAGTAACTTAGCTTGCTGTTGCAGAGTACACAGTACCCACCCTGGAAGGATACCCCTTGCCACTAACAAGGATGCTCACTGCCACCAAGATCAGGTGTGCCCATGCACAGGGTGATCTAAACTATGGTGCCGAGAATGAGACAGCCCAGAGACCTAACTCTCGTGGTATTTCACACGAGCCACTTTTCCTTCTGCATAAAATACTATCCTCAACATATCCTCACTCCACACACTCACCTCTTCACGTCTGCGCTTAGAGCAACATCCAACCCCAGCCCTCCATCCTCCAGCTTTGCTAGGAGCAGGGGGTACAAATGCTCGGGCACAAGTGCTGTTTGCATGACCTTAGGCAAGTAGTGCTAAGTGTGCTGTGACTCAGTTTCCTCCTCTGTAAAATGGGGATAATAACAGTTTTCCTCTATGAGGGCTGCTGTGAAGACCGAATGAGTTAATAGATGCCAAAGACTTAGAAGAGGGCCTGCTTGGAGGGAAGAGCGGTTAATAGGAAATGACACGGCGGTTAAATGACTGGCCTGCAGCAGGTCCCGCAGCTCACCCTTCCCTGAACTACTGCCATAATTACAAGCCATGCAAAATCTGGTGCTTGAATCACACAGTGGGGTTCATGTCACCTCCCTGTGCTCTATGTCCAGAACAGCCTGGCCAAGTAGGTTTGTGATCAAATGGAATGAACTGGATTAATTCTAACAAATCAGCACCAGAGAGCAAAGACACTGTGGACTCATTCCCAGTCTGATCAAATTCTCTCTCTCTCTCTGCCAGTCCTGGGGCTTGAACTCAGGGCCGGGGCACTGTCCCTCAACTTCTTTTGCTCAAGGCTAGCACTCTACCACTTGAACCACAGCACCATTTCTGGCTTTTTCTGTTTACATGGTGCTGTGGAATCGAACCAAGGGCCTCATGCATGCGAGGCAAGCACTCTACCACTGAGCCACCTTCCCAGCCCTCCTAACTACTTTTCTAAAGCAGTCCTTATGTGACCCCTGTCCCTGTCCTGACATATTCATAGAGGTTTTTGTTTTGACATCGCATTGAAGCAATGTTTATTAGCTGTCGCTTTGTTCTGGAACTTCTCCTTGTGAATCAGAGGTCTGCACAGGAGCTCAGAAAGTGAGAAAACGCTTTTGCTCTGGGGACTGTGGGGACAGTGGCTTCTCCCCCGGCTCAGCAATGTGGCTCCAGCCTTCTCTCAGGCCCCTGGGCCAGCTGGGCAGAAAGCAGAAGAGTTCCATATTCTGCCTGGCTTTTTTATTTTTATTTTTGCCAGTTCTGGGGCTTGAACTCAGGGCCTGGTCACTGTCCCTGAGCCTCTTTGCATTCAAGGCTAGCACTCTACCGCTTGAGCCATAGCACCATTTCCAGTTTTCCGGTGGTTCTTTGGAGATAAATAAGAGTCTCACAGACAGCTTTGAACTGCGATCCTCAGATCTCAGCCTCCCGAGTAGCTAGGATTACAGGCATGAGCCACTGGTGTCAACGGCTGCCTGGATGCTTGTTCCCAGCTTCTTGGTCCCCATCCACCCCCTCTAACTTCAGGGCTTCCCTCTTTCTTGCACCTACCCTCACCAAACGGATACTGACTGGAAATGTTGCCTCTCCTAGGAGTATGCTGCATTTTAAAAGGGGCCAGAGCAACCCTTCACCTCTTAAGGCTGAGTCCTGGCATAACTTCACACACCAGGATGCTCAGGAGTCTGCCTCTCCCCTCTCAGCCCCAGCGAGCCATGGACCCTAAGCGAGAGGGAGAGCGGTCCACGCTCCCCCGTGGCTCTGAGGCTGCAACCCTATCAGAGGTCCAGCCCACCCACCCCTTCCCTTCCTGCCTCCCAGGCCTGGCGTGGTCCCCAGAAGCACCCCCAAAGCCCCCACAGGCTCCTGCACTGGGGGAAATCTCTCCAGGGAGCCCAGGACAGAGGCCAGGCCTTACCCATTTCTATCCCGCAGATGACCAGCGCTGCGATCACCGCTCCTGCGGAAGTCCCTGCGAAGCGATAGGTGGTGTCCAGCATGCGGGGGGCCAGGTCTCGCAAGGCGTCCACGGCCCCGGCCTGGTAGTAGGAGAGGAATCCACTGCCCGAGAACGAGATGGAATGAGGGCAGTCGGGATCGCCTTTGAACACCTGCTCATCCATCTTCTTGGCGTCTGCTGTCCCTCAAGGCGGAGCAGCCTCCCTTCCCCACTGGGCTGCTTTAGCTTGGCCTGATGCTCTCGCTGGAGATTCCTTCCCAGCTTCCCTGCCAGCCTGGAGCCTGGAATATGACCGGGTTTACCAGCTTGGCAGGGCACCCATGTGCTGCTCAGTCAGCCGCCGCCTGGGCCTGTTTAGTTGTGCCAGGAAGCAGATCCAAAAGATAGGAACGGTGCCCAGAGCCCACAAATCTCCCCAAGATGTGTGAGCAGGGTCCCGAACCTGCCCTCACTTCATTGCTTGATGAGATCCATCGTAGGTTCCACAGCCTCGGCCCAGCTCCGCCGCACCTCACACAGGGCTGTGCCCACAGAGGCGGCACTGCGCAGGGCCCAGACAGAGCTGCGCACGTCCCCTGGCAACACCTGTGCCCGTGGCTCTCCCCGGGCCTCCCTCCCTGCCAGGCTGCTGCAGGGAGGGTGACAAGCCTCCTCCTCTGGGATGTCCTGTCCCCTCCTCCCAGAGGCTGGGCTGCCTCGTGGCTTCAGCTTCAATGGAGACACCCACACTCCACTCTCCCCCTCAATGGAGACTCCCACACTCCCCCTCTCCCCCCCCCCCCCCCCCCCCCCGCTTCTCCAGGCTATGTGGATAAGAGATGGGTTAGGAGATTCTTTCATTTATTTATTTTTCTCACATAAGCACCTCTCTGTTTACTGACTTATTTATCTCTCTTGCTTGGACTGGCTATGGACAAATTGGAAAGGAAGAGAAGTTGGCCTCCAGAAGGCTGATCTTCTACATCTTTCCAGGCCTCATGGTCTTTTCTCTCTCTTCTTTCCTAATTGATTAATTCATTCATTTTGTGAGGGGTGGGGGAAGTGTTTCTTTCTTTTTTTTTTTTTTGGTCAGTCATGGGCTTAAGCTCTGGGCCTGGGCACTGTCCTGTGGCTCCCAGCAGCTCTGATGGTCTCATTGCTACCCGCAGACAAGGAGGCAGGGCGGGCTCGGCCTTGGACAGACACCTTGAGACTTTTCATTATTGGGGAGGAGAGCTTTAGATTCGATGTGTATGTGTGTGGTGTGGGTGCGTGTGAGCGCACACCGCTGTGGTGGAGGCTGGGGTGGGACAGGACAGAGCTGGCAGCTTTCAGCACAGCTTTGGGACACCAGATCAGTGCCGCTGAGGATGTGAGCCAGCCACCATGGCAGCCAGGAGAAGCTCCGCCTCCTACGGGCTTCCTGGGGACCAGAAAGGCAAAGGTAAACGAACCAGAGTAACATGCCAGGCAATCTGTCATTAAATGTGAGTTGTGCAAGGCTAGATGGCTGCCAGGAGAGTTAAGGGGTGAGGGCGATGGGTGTGGCTGGAACTTGGAGGTGCTGTGTGGAGCTATGCACTGAAGGACTGAAGAGGAGGAAGAGTTGGCGTACCAGGGGGGAGCAGCTAGGAGCACCTTCCAACAGAGCAAAGGACCAATGGGCTCCCATGTTCAGGGCTTTGTCCCAGACGGTCATGAGGCTGACTCTTGGAAGTAGAGTTGTGGCTCAAGTGGTAGAGCCCTAGACTTGAGTGGAAAAAGCTAAGCAAGAGAATGAGGGCCTGAGTTCAAGCCCTAGGATGGGCACAGAAGAAAAGAAAGGGAAAAAAGAGAGAAAGAAGAGGGATGGAGGGAGAGAGAGACAGAGAGAGACAGAGAGAGAGACAGAGACAGAGAGAGAACTAGGTGCCTATGGTTTACATCTGTAATCCTAGCTACTCAGGAGACCTAAGGATCACAGTCCAAAGGCATCCCAGGCAGGAAAGTCCATGAGACTCTCCAGTTAACTAGCAGAAAAAAGCTAGAAATTGAAGTTTGGCTCAAATGGTAAAGCACCAGCCTTGAGCAGAAAAGCCAAGCAAGAGCATGAGGCCCTGAGTTCAAGCCCCAGTACTAGCAGAAAAAAAAAAGAAGAAGAAGAGAGGCTGGCTCACAGCTCTGCTATTTACACAGCAAGTTGTGAGATTCTGAACCTCAGTTTCGCTGTTTGCGAAAGAAATACTAATTCCTCGGGCTGGGAAGGTGGCTCAGTGGTAGAGTGCTTGCCTTGCATGCCTGAGGCCCTGGGTTCGATTCCTCAGCACCACATAAGCAAAAAGAAAAACGCCGGAAGTGGCGCTGTGGCTCAAGTGGTAGAGCGCTAGCCTTGAGCTGAAGAGCTGAGGGACAGCGCCCAGGCCCAGAGTTCAGGCCCCACGACCGGACCCCCCCCCCCCAATAAAAAAAGAAATACTAATTCCTTTGTTCACAAAAAGGAGTTGTAAATGGGAAAGATAAAGGCTGTGTGTGTGTGGTGGGTGACGCGTCTACAATGATCACAGAGCAATCAAGCCCAAGTCATCTGGAACAGATGGACCCTGAAGCCGAAGTGAGGAGAAAGGAAAGGTGAAGTCAAGGAGGAACGCCAGCCGGTCCGTGAGCATCGTGTAGCAGTCGCAGGGGAAGTGAGGCTTGGAAGGGGAGGACCAGTGGATGGTAGGTAGGAATATGGTGGCTGCCAGGCCAGGCAGGTAGCTGGAGGATGCTAGCTAAGGAAGTCCTGGCTACAAGTCTTAGCATACAGACTGGACTGGTTGGATAGGCATGATGGGCAGGTGAGTCACGGCTGATGCCTGTGTTCAGCCTGCAGGTAGAGAGGGGTGAGGCCACCTCTGGCACACCTGGGGAAACTGGATGGAGCATGAGTGTTTCTTTGCAGAGGTGTACAAGGTCGCAGCCAGATGTTGGCAGGATGGCTCCAGTGCTGCTCTAGAGGTAGGGAAGGTGGGCAAGGAGCCAGCCCATGCCCACAGGGGCTGCAAGAGCCGGTGACCCGTGGGGACATCCAAGACCACAGTGTGTCTGCTCCAACAAGCATGCAAATGTACGCGTGAGAAGGTCCCAGAAGAGGTGCTGAGGGGGGGAGACTCCCCCCCTTGACTCAGAGTGGACCTCAGAGTGGTACATCTGACCAGCTGGGGGGATCTAGGCCTCGGTGTTGAATGATTCAGAATCTCTGCCTCAGTTTCCCATAGGCAAGTCCAGCGCTCTGAGCCACCTTCCCAGCCCATCTCCAGCTTTATCTTTGTTATTTATCCCCCCCAAAGACAGTGGGGTTCTTATAATTGAACCACATTCTAAAGCTATAACTTGCCAGGTGCTAGTGGCTCACACCTATAATCTTAGCTCCTTAGGAGGCAGAGATCTGAAGATCATGGTTCAAAGCCAGCTTGGGCAGGAAAAGTCTGAGAATCTTTATCTCCAATAAAATGCTCAGAAAAAGCCAGAAGTGGCACTGTGGCTTGAGTGGTAGAGCACTAGCCTTGAGCAAAAGAAGTTCAGGGAGGGCTGGGAAGGTGGCTCAGTGGTAGAGCGCTTCCCTTGCATGCATGAGGCCCTGGGTTCGATTCCTCAGCACCACATAAGCAAAAAGAAAAAAAGCCAGAAGTGGCGCTGTGGCTCAAGTGATAGAGCGCTAGCCTTGAGCTGAAGAGCTGAGGGACAGCACCCAGGCCCAGAGTTCAGGCCCCACGACCGGACCCAAAAAAAAAAAAAAAAAAGAAGTTCAGGGATGTGTCTAGTCTGAGTTCACATCCCAGGACTGGCAAAATATTAAAATAATAAAATAAAACTGTAGTTTCACACATGTGGCTTAATTTTTGAAAACTTGATCAGGAAACCTACAGGTGGTCTTTTGTGGGGCTCAAGTGTTTAAACTTTTTCTAACAGATTTTTTTTTTAGTACTGAGGTTTGAACTCAAGACCTTGTACTTGGTAGGCAGACACTCTACTACCTAAGCAATACCTTCAGCCATAAGAGGTAGAATTTTTATTTTTGTCGGTTATGGAGCTTGAACTCTGGGCCGGGGTGCTGTCCCTCAACTATTCAGTTCAAGGCTAGCGCTTTACCACTTGAGCCACAGCGCCACTTCCAGTTTTCTGAGTTGTTTATTGGAGATAAGAGTCTCATGGACTTTCCTGCCTGGGCTGGCTTTGAACCACAATCCTCAGATCTCAGCCTCCAGAGAAGTTAGGATTACAGGTGTGAGCTACCAGCACCCAGCTTCAAGAGTCAGAAATTTTGTGTGTGTGCCAGCACAGGGGCTTGAACTCACTCAGGGCCTTACACTCTTGCTTAGCTTTTCTGCTCAAAGCTGGTACTCTGCCACTTGAGCCACACTTGTGGATTTTTTTTTTTTTTTTTTGGTCAGTTGTGAGCTTGATCTCAGGGCCTGGGCACTGTCTCTGAGCTCCTTTTGTTCATGGCTAGTGCTCTACCACTTGAGCCACAGAGCCTCTTCCAGCTTTTTTGGAGTAGTTTATTAGAGATAAGAGTCTCACAGACTTTCCTGCCTGAGCTGGCTTGGAACTGTGATCCTCAGATGTCAGCCTCCTGAGTGGTTAGGATTACAGGTATGAGCCACTGGCAGTGGCCACGCTTTTTTTTTTTTTTTTTTTTTTTTTTTTTTTTTTTTTTGGGTCCGGTCGTGGGGCCTGAACTCTGGGCCTGGGCGCTGTCCCTCAGCTCTTCAGCTCAAGGCTAGTGCTCTACCACTTGAGCCACAGCGCCACTTCCGGCTTTTTTGTTTTTTTTTGCTTATGTGGTACTGAGGAATCGAACCCAGGGCCTCGAGCATGCAAGGCAAGCGCTCTACCACTGAGCCACCTTCCCAGCCCTTTTTTTTTTTTTTTTTTCTGGTAAAGTGGACATAAGAGTCTCACAGAAGCTGATGCCAGTGGCTCACCTGTAATCCTAGCTACCCATGAGGCTGAGATCTGAGAACTGCAGTTCAAAGCCAGCCTGGACAGAAAAGTCCTTGTGAGACGCTTATTAACCACTAGAAATTAACCACTAGAAAACTGGAAATGCGGGGCTGGGAAGGTGGCTCAGAGGTAGAGCACTTGCCTTGCATGCATGAGGCCCTGGCTTTGATTCCTGAGCACCACATAAGCAGAAAAAAAAAAAAAAATCCGGAAGTGGCC